TCCCTTATTTGGCCTCTTTCTTCTCCTGAGGCTGACTACCAAAGTCCAGCAATAAAAAGTCTCCCTTTGGTTCACCTCATTAGCATGCCCAATTACAATTGAACACCTCATCCTAACACGGGGTTTCCCATTTTACCTTTATAAATCGCCATTTTCCTATGTGCCAGGTCTGTCTCCTCTCTATCCCGAGGCGGTCGCTTGTCCCGCTGGGTCATATGCCCCTTCCTCCTTCCCTGGTTCCTGTCCCTTCTCCCTCATCCCTATCTCCATTACCACCACATCCTAGCCCATTCTAACACAGACCCTCCCCTCCTATTTGCTGCTGTTTTCTGCCTGAGTCAGAGAGCAGTCACTTCAACTTTTCTTCCCTGTTTAATAAAGGATCTCTCTGTGTTTGGGTGTGACTTGTGCCTAATCCAGAGCCTGGGAGGGAGCCCCCACTGTGCGGGAGTCAAAACAATTTTGAGATTTCATCTTACCCCAGTCAGAATGGAAAATTTCAACAACTGAGGAAAAGTGGTAGAAGGAACGTGGGAAAAGGGACGCCCTCACTCACTGTTGCTGGGATTACAAACTGGTCTAGCCACCCTGGAAATCAGTGTGGAGCATCCTCAAAAAAACTAAAAATAATTCTACCATATGACCCAGATATACACGCTATGTCAGGTGCCCAAAGGATTCAGCATCCTACTACACAGATACTTGCTCAGCATGTTCACTGTTACTGTATTCACAACAGCTAGAAAATGGAAACAACCTATGTCCTTCCACTGACAAATAGATAAGGAAAATGTGATACAGATACACTATGGAATATTGTCTAGCTGTTAAAAAATAAAATTCTATGCAAATACATGGAAGCATAAAATGTTATATCAAAGAAAAGCCCAGGACTTATGGTTTCTATGGTAATATATCATGTACCCTAATAAACTTGCCTGAGTATCAGAGGACAGAGCCAGTCACCAGATTAGACATAGAGGTCAGGCAGTAGTGGCACATACCTTTAATCCCAGCACTTGAGATCTCATGCCTTTGCTTGGGAAGCACACATCCCTTTAATCCCAGGAAGTATTATGGCAGGGCAGAGAAAGGTGCATAAGGCATGAGGAAACAGGAACTCACTCTCTTTAGGCTGAGGATTTTGTAGAGGTAAGAACTAGTGACTGGCTGTTCTGCTTCTCTGATCTTTCAGCTTTTACCCCAATATCTGGCTCTGGGTTTTTATTAAAAGGCCATCTAAGATTTGAACAACAGCTTCCATAATGTAGTCTAAGAAATGTTCTGAGAATTAACATCAACCCAAGTTTAGAGGTATATACTTTTAATCCCAGCACATGAGAGGCAGAGGCAGATGGACCTCTGTGAGTCTGAGGCCAATTGGTCTTCAGAGTAAGTTCCAGGCCAACCAGAGCAACATAGTGTGACCTTGTCTCAAAAACCAAACATATCTAATATCAATCCTTCCCAAGTTTCCCCATAGTAATACAGGTTAAGCATCCATAATTCAAAAATACAAATTCCAAAATCGGAAATTTACTGAGTAATTGACGGGACACTCCAAGTGGAAAATTGCATACTTGATCTCATGTGTTGAATTATAGTCAAAAGCCAGGCACACTAAAAGCATTGTATAAATTTCCTTCAGTCCTTATGTACATGGTTGTATACCAAGCACCACTGAACTCATGTTTAGACTTTGTTCCCATATCTAAAATAACTCATTATATGTATGCAAATGGTCTGAAATCTAAAATTCATTTTTATCTAAAACAACCCCAAATAAAGGATACTAAACCTGTTTTGCCTTCATATGTGTCTGATTTATCTCAGTTAACAGATGTCATCTAAGCTCACCAATGTTGCTACAAATGTCAGAATTCCTTTCTTTTTAAGGGATGAATAGTATTGATTATATATATAACATTTTATCTGCCCATTCATTCGGGTCTGAACACCTAGGTTGCTTCAACATCTTGCTATGATGAATATTCTGCAATAACAGGGGTGTCATGGTTGTTGACAACTTGGCACAAAACTAGACATAACTGGAAAGAGAAAAAAATCTCAATTTAAGAACTGGATTCATCAGACTGTGCATTCTGGGCATGTCTGTGGGGCATTTTCTTAATTGCTGAGAGGGAGGTCAAGCCCACTCTAGGGGGTGCCATTCCTAAGCATGTGAACGTGGACTGTATAAGAAAGGTAGTCAAGCAAGCCAGGGAAACAACCCATTAAGTAACATTTCTCAGTGGTTTCTGCTTCAGGCTCCTTCCTTGAATTCCTGCCTTGACTCCTCTTCCTCTCCCAAGTTGCCTTTCGTCAGTTTTTTTCACAGCAACAGAAAGCAAAGCAAACAAGGACAACAGGAGTACAGAAAAATCTTCATCACACTGATTCAATTTATTTGCATACCTACCCAGATGTATATTTGCTGGGTTATATATAGGGTAGTTCTATTTTGGGGTGTTTTTTTGGTCTTTGGGGTTTTTTATTTTATTTTATTTTATTTTATTTAGAAACCTTAATATTGTAACAAGACACATGAATGACCAAAAGTACAAATCTTTAGTAGACTTCCAAGAAATGCAAATTAAAATCCCAATGAGGAGCTGGAAAAATGGCTCCATGATTAAGAGTATTCGCCGGGCGGTGGTGGTGCACGCCTTTAATCCCAGCACTCGGGAGGCAGAGGCAGGTGGATCTCTGTGAGTTCGAGGCCAGCCTGGGCTACCAAGTGAGTTCCAGGAAAGTCGCAAAGCTACCCAGAGAAACCCTGTCTCAAAAAACAAAAAACAAAAAACAAAAAACAAAAAAAAAAAAAAGAGTATTCACTTACTGCTCTTTCAAAGTACCAGAGTTTGGTTTCCAGCACCCATGTTGGGTGGCTCACTATTTCCTATAACTCCAACTCCAGGAGACCTGATGACCTCTTCTGGCCTCCATGAGCACCCACAGGCATGTGTACACATATACATACTCACACAAATAATTAAATAAATGTTTTTTAATAAAAAAAAAAAACTCAATGAAATATCACTTCATACTGTTAAAGCAGCCATTGTAAAAGTATGCTAAGGATCACTTACCTCAGTGGCATAGTACTAGTCTAGCATATATAAAGTTACCAGCATATATGTTTTCCCGTACCACCAAAATACAAAAGAAAGCAATACTGAACTTACTGGTCTTGAGGACTCCCAAAAACACATTCATTGCATTCACCAGCATCTTGACAAATACTCAACAAATCATACCAAGGCAAACCACAATCAAATTGCTTAAAACCAGCAATAAAGAAATCTTAAAAGATCAAGAATGAGGCTACTTCAGGCTTGTTGACAATAACTGGAAAAACCGGAAAACAAAAGCATGTTTTCAAAGCTTTAAAAGAAAACCATTTCCAGCCTAAGAGTCTATACAAGTTTTCAGTCGCATGTACTATAAATGCATTATAAAATCATCCCCTTCCCCACCCCTTGTCCCTCTTTCTCTTTCTCCTTCTCCGCTCCCCCTCTCAAACTAACCCAAACTGGTGTCAAACTCATAATCCTCTACCATCAGCCCCCTTCATGCTGGGATTACAGGTGTAAGTTACCACACTGCTGATAACATTTTTAGACATACCCAACCTCAAGCAATTATCGTCTATCAAGTTTTTCTCTGAGACTATTGAAAAATGCGTCTAACCAAAATGAGGATGAAAACTGAGAAAATACTTACGTACAGGAGGGCACAGAGCTCCATACAGGATTAAGGTTCATAAATAAATCTCTGGAACGCTAGGGATAGCATCTGGGTAGGAAAACCCTCTACAGGCTCTTGTGGTGCACACATGTCCCCTCTGCAAACATTATTTTGTGGGATTCTAAAATATCTAGTGTTAAGTCTAGCTGAAGGAAGCAGATGACTAGGGCCATGTTTCCTAAGATTACATCAGGCAGCTAGCCCTTTCTGCTCTTTCTCTGTCGATATGTGAAACCCACCAGATACTTTGGCCAATCATGAGACCATGCAAGCTCCAAGACAGAGAATCCAAATAAACTTTCTCCTTGAAGTTGTTTTTTTGGTTTTTGTTTTGGTTTGGTTTGTTTTGTTTTGGTTTGGTTTGGTTTGGTTTGATTTTTCGAGACAGGGTTTCTCTGTGTCGTTTTGGTGCCTGTCCTGGATCTCGCTCTGTAGCCCAGGCTGGCCCTGAGCTCACAGAGATCCGCCTGGCTCTGCCTCCCGAGTGCTGGGATTAAAGGTGTGCACCACCACTGCCTGGCTCTCCCTGAAGTTTTTACCTGCGGTCTGTCACAGCTACAAAACAATAACTAGCACAGATGATGAGGGGAGACCCCAAGGTAACAACATCCACAACTAGTGAGCACATTATATTCAAACTGGAGTGGCTAGGAGGCTGTGGGCTAGAGAGTTCTAAGAAAACAGAAGAGATAAAATCCCTACGATGTCTAAACAGCTTAACAACAGAAACAAACAACAGTGACAAATTAATTATTAGCATTAAATTAGGTTAAGCGAAAAAATAACAGTATGCCAAAGGAAAACAAAAAAAAAAAAAAAAGCTATGAAAGAAATAGTACCCTTGGTCATCAATATTATCGATGTGAAAATGTTGAATACTAGTCACAAACCTCACTATATCTGTACTGGGAGACTACAAGGGCAGCACAAGGAACAGAGATGGATGGATGTGAGCTCAGTGCAGGAGATCCTGTCACTTTAGAGATGAGCATGAAGAACAAAATCCTCTAGCCAGAGTTAAAATGGCTGCCCTGAGGAGGTGGGGAGTTGAAGTGATGGCTGCCCTGAGGAGGTGGGGAGTTGAAGTGATGACTGCCCTGAGGAGGTGGGGAGTTGAAGTGATGGCTGCCCTGAGGAGGTGGGGAGTTGAAGTGATGGCTGCCCTGAGGAGGTGGGGTTAAGATTAAGTGAGAGAAACGCTACACTCACCCAATGTCATAGGCGAACAGAAGAGTTCACACAATTATTCTTACCTCAGGGGGCTCACAGAGCCTGTCATCGTTTGTCAAAGAATGACTGCTTGCACAAGAAGCACAATCCGAGATGTCCACGGCCCCCTCACCATCGTCACATTCACTTGGCCCCCCAGGATCTTCCATGTCACTGTTGATCTCCCAGTCAATAAACTGTAATTCATCTAAAAAAATACAATTTTTTAACTTTGTTAATTTTATAGCCCCCTGATATTTATTTTGTAAACTTATTCTCAATGGTTGATGCACACATAGCACTGGATGACTTTTATAAATACACCAAGTGAACACTCTACTCCTACTCTCACCTCTGGTCACTCTGCCTCCCAATTCTCACCCCCACCTCAAATATAAGTGAACTACTGTTATTCATTTGTTTCTTAATCCTTGTAGTTTCTCCAGCACGTTCAAGAAAATGAGATACATACTATTTCTCCTTTCTTACACATCTTGACGTTTCTTTAATTAAGATAATGAAGAGATCCCTCATCAATAACAGCTATCTCATTCTTCTACATAATTCAGTAGTCTAGCGTATCAACAAACCATGGTTTATTTATATAGTCCCTTGTTAGAAATAACTTTTTCAAGGCTAGAGAGATGGCTCAGTAGTTAGGAGTAATGACTGCTCTTGCAGAGAACCCAGGTTCAATTCCTGGAACCCACACAGTTTTTAAAAAGTCTGTAATTCCTGTTCCAAGTAGATCCAATGCTCTCTTCTGGCTTCCAAGGGTACTGCATGCATGTGGTACACAAACATGCGTGAAGGCAAAACATCCATATAAATAAAATAAAAATAAACCTGAAAAAAAATTAATTTTTGAAATTAAAAGAAATAACTTCTTCAAGTATCTCCACACAAGAATTTTTTCCAGAAGTATCTTTCATAAAAAGGAATTAAACTAATTTAGATTCATTTTACCTCATAATCTCATTACAACTTTAGCAAATTTTAAGACAGATAAATTATGCACATGTATTACATGACCAAATGTACTAAATCTAATCTGCTATTCCTAAATAACTGAAAGCAGTTATCACAGATGGACTGAACTGTGAGGCACAATACATAACATAAATCTTTCCTATAGCTCAAAGTACAAATACTCAAAGAGCTAAGATCATGGATCTATTTACATCTCACTTAATGGAAGGGCATAGACTCTCTTCTTCCACTAAAGTGAAGGAATAGTTCATTCAAAATGTGCCAGATTTAGTACCTGGCTGGAACTTAAAATGTTAAAGAAAAAAATAATAGTAAAGTTAAAATACAGATGAGGCTGGAGAGATGGCTTGGCCATTAAAAGCACTTGCTGCCCTTACAGAAAAATCAGGCTGTTCCCAGCATCCACACAGTAGCTTACAACTCTGTAACTCAAGTTCCAGATACCCTCTTCTGACCTCCACAGGCACCAGGCACTCACGTGGTGCAGTTAAATACATGCAAGCATTCATATATACACACAAAATAAAATAACAAATAAGATATGGGGAAAAATTTAAAATAACTTTTTAATAAAGCTGGGCATAGTAGAACACACTTTTAATCCCAGCACTTAGGAGGCAGAGGCAGGTGGATCTCTGTGAGTTCCAGGACAGCCAGGGCTGTTACACAGAGACCCTGTCTTGAAAAACTAAATTAATTACTTAATTAATTTTATTAAATAGATAAATAAATAAATGAATAGCTTTTTTTAGTCTGGTAAGGTCTGAGAAGATATGGTAAAAGTCCACTACACTAATTACAAAAAACTAGAGGTTAAATCACCAGTGAAAAACTAGACCTTTACTTCTCATGACGAAGCCAGGCAGGGTAGTGCACAACAAACTCTCTGAGCTGCTGCATTATCACAGCAGGAAGTTGTGGTGAGCCAGAGAAGAGCACACACAAAACTAGAGTTGCCACCAGCACCACACACCTGAGGAGCACCCATCACAAATTCCGGTTTTCACTCAACAGAATGAGTATTTTAGAAGGGTCTGTCACACCAATCCAGATGTCAACAGTCACAATAAAGAAATGGAAGAGAGACAACAGTATTTACTTTGAGTAACCCACAGAAAAACAACATTGCAATGTGGTGAGTGAAATTAAGTGATACACCAGAAACAAAATGGGAATTCTGTTACTAACCATAGTAATCCCATTCACTTTACAAATGATGACTGGGTCTTTAATAAACTAAGGGGCTTTGTAAAAGTTCTAAAAGACTAAATTATCTGGGTATATGTTCATGTTTGGGGGCGGGGTGGGGGGCGCACGTGTGTACATGTGAGTACGTGCATGTGCAGACCAGAGTCAAGCTGGGTGTTGTTCCTCAGGCACTGCCCTACATATTTTCTGAGATCGAGTCTCTCACTCACCTGTAATTTATTAAGAAAGCAAGGTCTTCCTGCCACTGAGCCCCTGGGATCCACCAAGCTGCCTCCCTAATGTTGAGATTCATGCACCACCACGCCTGGTTTCTGTTTTATTTTGCTTTGTTTATAGGGTTTCACAGTACAGCCTTGGCTGATCTGGAACCTGCTATGGAGACCAGGTGGCCTTGGACTCACAGATCCTCCCAAGTGCTGGGATTAAAGGTGTGTCACCATACCAGGGCTTATGACTTTAAAACCACAGGTTCTGGGTGCTGAACTCAAATCTTGTTTACCAACTGAACTACCTCCTCAAGCCCAAGAAGAGGAATTTTTAAGAAAAGAAAAAAAAATATTTTGACAATTTTAACTTAGAGTTCTTCCTTCTTAAACCCAATTCTGGATCCTGTAGTCAAGACACTCTAATCCTAGGTCTGGGATATTATTTGTAAAGGAAATGAAGAAAGGTTTGGCAACCAGTATACAATTAAACAGTGGCATCCCTAGGTCTGAATTATCAACTGGAGCACTTACAAATGTGCCTCTCTTCACGTGACCTTTTATAACATGACCTTTTATAAGTCCCAATCATCTAATAAAATGAAGAGATTTCTTAGCTCATAAGATAGAGTATGTATAAAAAGAAGTAATATACTTAGCACCCAGCTTCGTATCTTAAACAAAATAAAATCACAATAACTGTAACATTTGTCATTCATTAAAGGTTTAAAAAAAATTAGAAGACTAGGAAGAGAGAACTGAAAAATGGAGACAGCCCAGCAACCACGTGCATGGCTTCAAATACTCCAAAGGATCATTTACTCTTTACTACCTGAGGATTAACTTTATAAGAAAAGTCAGTAAGATGTTAAATAATCTCATTTTTTAAGTATTCTAGTTTCTAATTTATCGGCTAGTATGTAAGGATGCACATACACTTCTGTGTACGTGTATGTAGAGGCCAGAAGTCAGTGTCAGGGATCTTCTGATCACTTTCAACCTTATATGTTGAGACAGGATCTCTTCTTAAGTGGATGATTTGATGGCCTGGCTGGTTAGGATGCACTAGTGATCTTCCTTTCTCTTCCGTACCAGTGCTGATGCACACTGTACCCAGCTTTTTTCTTTTTACATGGCTAGTAGGGATCGAGATCAGGTCCTCACACCTATGCAGGAACATTTTAGTGATATAGTCATTTCCCCAACCCCTAATTTTTTGTTTTCTGGGACAAGATATCAATAAGGAACCAAGCATGGGTTGGAACTCCAGATGTAAGCCAAGCTGGCTTTGAACTCACAACTATCTTACTTCTCAGTCCCTTAAGTGCAGTGTTAGTTCATTTCAAATAATTAGCCCAGAGCATGTTTCCATTTACAAATAGAATGTTAGAACCTACTGAATATCGTTTTCAGTAGAAGAGGGCAGCCACGTTTTAAACAGCAGTTTTATTAAGATATAATTAATATAAAGCACAGTTTTTAATATTGAAATCCTGTTCTAAATCATGTAAAAAATTAGTCAAGAGTCTTATCACAGTGAGTTTCAGTCAACAAGACCAAATTACTAACGTAAGAATTATCAGCTTTTTTTTTTTTTAAAGATTTATTTATTATGTATACAGTGTTCTGCCTGCACATATCCCTGCAGGCCAGAAGAGGGCACCAGATCTCATTACAGATGGTTGTGAGCCACCATGTGGTTGCTGGGAATTGAACTCAGGACCTTTAGGAAGAGCAAGCAGTGCTCTTAACCTCTGAGCCATCTCTCCAGCCCCCAGCTTTTTTAATTTACACACAATGTAAAATACTACCCTATCAGATAACTACTAAAATGTCAGTGGTAGTTGCCAGAATGGCACTCAAAGTGGTCAATGGATTTTAAGCACTTTCCAGAGACATCTCAGCAAACCTAACTTTGCTGGAATAACTAAAATGAACTATCAGAGTTAAAAGCAACAAGCTTATTTTGAAAGCAATAGTGCTAATTTTGAGAAGTTTTGTTTTAATATAAACACAATACACTATAAAGTATCATCAGAACTGAAACTTACTACTAAGTTACACTTCTACAACATACTGATTGTTGTAATATTTATTCATTAATAACAAATTAGCCAGGAAGAAGCATGGGTGTGGCATTGCTTAGGAATTAGGAGAACTGGCTTGGCATTAAAAAGTAAAAAGAGAATACCAACTAAATCTGAGAGAATCAAACCTAACATATTAAGTACAATAAAACAGAAAGAAAAAGAAAAAAGGAAACACAGGAAGGAGAGGCCACATAATGCAGAGGGAAGTTTCTCTGTGTCCCATCAGGCCTCACGGTCAGGATGAATCTCTCCCACCCGCAGTCCCACAGCCGCTTATAAAATAATTACACAGAGGCTTATGTTAATTACAAAGTGTATGGCCTATGGCTTCAGCTTCTTGCTAGCTAGCTAGCTCTTTCATCTTAAATTAACCCATTCCTATTAATATATATGTTGCCACATGGCCATGGCATTACCTATCTTGTTGCTCCTTCGGCAGCGGGCTGGTGTCTACCCCCACTTCACCCTTCATCTCCCTATATCTCTGCTTGGATTTCCTGCCTGGCTGTAAGCTTTCTTGCCATAGGCTAAAATAGCTTTATTTATTATCCAATGGGAGCCACACAGCATACAGAAAGACATCCAACAGCAACATAGTGGTACAGGTTTGCAATCTCATTACTTGAGAGGCAAACTGTAAACCACAAGTTTAATTGTAATAGGTGACTAACTACTAACATTTCTTTATTATCTTAAATAGTTTGTAATAATAACTTTCAAGGACTAGCAATTTTGCATTACATTGTTAAATAATATGTATAGGTACAATACATTGAACAAGACTAGAAATGTATGTACAGTATGTTCAACAGTAGTATATTCTAACAAAAATAATCTCAACTTTGTATCAGCATACAAAGGTTCATATCAATGTAAAGTATTTTAAACAAGTAGTTGCTTTTTAAAAGTAGACTGAATAATCTATCCTTTTATACCCTATTATAGTTTCTCCTGAATTTTTTGTTCTCTCTTCTATAGTTGTTCTGTCATCCAGAGTAGTATGGTTTCTTACAATAGGCATTAGGTTCTTTAATTGCTCTGGGAAGGAGTTTCCTCCATGATAGGAAATGATTGAACCAAATTTGACATGGGGGCCTGCAAGAGGCCCCCCAAGGCATTTCCCAATGTCAAAGGGTTAACTTGACTGTCCCTTGTTGATCTAAATTGTAAGTTCAATGTCTGCCTTTGCCACACCTTCTGCATACTCCAGAAGGGAGGGGTCTTCTGATCAGATTATTCCTGGATAAAACAATGTTTCTAAGAACGCCCTGTTTACACTCCCTTTTTAGGTGACCTTGTTTACAAAATTGAAACATTTGACATTTTGATTTTTCTTCAAACCTCTGAAAATCACCTCTCTTATCCAAGGATCATCATAGTTATGAGATTCAATATTGATTGTATCTCAGATCCATTCCTCCAAGGGTGTTGATCTTGCTTTTAACAGGCTAATTACCCTTTTGCATTTTGCATTAGCATTTTCAAAAGCCAGAGATTCAATTATTATCTGTCTAGCTTCTGAAGTCAATCTTTGTAAGAAATCAGTGAAGGTTTCTTTGGGGCCCTGTATGACTTTACTAAATGACTCAATTTTCTTTCCTATTTCTTCAATTCTGTCCCAAGCATTCAAGGCTGCTGTGTGGCATAAAGAGAGGGTGTGGTTATCATATAGAGATTGTCTTCCTACATTAGCATTTTTAATGTGGGAAAAAATTCTCTTTTAACTAATTTCTCCCTTTAAGAATTCGAAATTGTCTCACCCAATCTGCCAACGACAACGATTCAGATGATGGTGAAGTGTGGGGCTGACTGCTCTACATAGAACAGTCAAAGCCCTAGCAGTTTTCAAGGCAGTTACCAAGTGTGGCAGCATCCCAAGGAGGGGTCCAGGGAAAATCCACAACCCACCAGAAGAGAAGCAGCCAAAGAGTCAGCCATCTCCACGGGGTAATGTGCAAAGAAGCCAAAGAGCCAGCCCTCTCCACAGGAGGAATGTGCGAAAGCAGCTAATTCCTGCGGTTTTTGGAGCCCAAAAGCCTACAGAGTTTGCTGCAGATACGCTGCAACAGAAAAATCCCAACTCACTCAGAGGCTTGAGGAAAAGAAGGGAAAACCTTAGCCAGCAGGGTAGTTACTCCAGTCCTGTGCAGCTCCGGCCTGTGCTGGTGGCTGCAAAGTCACAGGCAAGCAGCTTTTCATGAATTTGTGCCCCAAAAGTTGAACGCCAGATGTGACACCAATTCTAATTGGTCTTAATAATAAAATCCCGAGCCAGATATTGGGGTAAATGCTGAAAGATCAGAGAGACAAAGGAGCAAGCCACAACCACTGCTTACCTCCCCTGACTCCTCAGCCTGAAAAGGGGGCTGGACTTCTGTCTCCGCCCACCTTACATTCCTCTCTCCACTCAGCCATATGACTTCCTGTTTCCTCCTCCCTAGTACTGGGATCAAAGGCATGAGATCCCAAGTACTAGTATTAAAGGTATGTGCCATCACTGTCCTGCTTCTATGGTTAACTAGTGGCTTAGCTCCATAGTCTGATCTCCAGGCAAGCTTTATTTGTTAGAGCACAAAGTATCACCACAGCAAACACAAGAGGGTTTCAGATTCAAGGCAAGCTCAGGCTACACCCACTCTATCTCAAAATATAAAACGTGAAAACAAAATAAGAAGCCACTATAACATCTATTTCTTTAAGTTGTTATAACAAATATATAAGGAAATATACGGAGGATACAACTCAGTAAAGTCATAATTCATAATAAAAATATAAAACGAATATAAGTTTCCACTACTACTGAACCTTATATTTAACAGAAACTGGACTTCTTACAAAACTAGGAACTTACCTTCAGTGGCTCCATCTTCTGGACATGAAATCATCCTGCTACAAAACCTGTCTGCGACATAGCCACGTCCATCTCTCTGTAATTGAGGGAGGGTCTTATCTTCGTCTGAGAAATCACTTCCACTCGAACTCCATGTGATATCTGCCACCTCACTAGGACTCTCACCTGCTGTTTCTGCTACAGAAGAAAAGACAAATATCAGCTGACAGTTGTTATTTATCTGAATGAGATTTTATGCATATTAATTAGACAAAGCCACAATCACAAAAACTCTAAAGACAATGAAAACAATGTTGTGGTACATCTTCTTACACAATGTTCCATGAGCAGTCCCACACAGATTCTCTGAATTAAAGCCAAGGACAACAGCTGGAGTTCAAATAAGTTATAAGAGACAAATTAAAACAGAAAGAGATAAGGAAACAGTCATGGACATAGGCCTCAGACCCTAAACACTGTTTACAGAAATATATTCTTTACTTGTATTTTCCAGCTCTCATAAAAAAATTTGTTCCTCAACCTTCTAAATAAATGTGGCTGGGTTTTGTTGTTTGCTTGATCCTTGATCCACCACCTTTGGAGGGTGGGGGCTGTGGTGGTGGTGGTGGTTGTTGTTTGAAACTTTAGCTTGGAATTCCTACCAATAGGCTACTTTAAACTCATTTTAGGAGCTGCTATTTTAAAAATGAACCAGTTCTAGGAAATGTTTTACATACCTTTTCCCATTGACCTCTTTCCTAAGCCTTTTATGTCTCTATCTTGGCTTAACTAAAGCCGTATTATAAATAGAATACACTGGTACAAACTCTATGAGCCTTTCAGAATATACTGTGTATCATCTATATAATAAAAAACAACATTATGAGTCAAATATGTTCTGGTCTGAGAAAATTATCTCAAAAGAACCTCCTGTAATTAAATGCAAGTAGCAATTTATTTAATATTTAGTTTTCTCCCAAAACTGAATATACAACTCCAGAAAAATACATAAACTACATTTATTTTAAAAAGCACACCTTTTTCCATATATTATATTTTAAAAATTAAACACAAATTGATACAAATATAAGAACATTTGGTACTAGTAAAAAGAAATATATAATTCTGCACTACTAGTAGATATTTCGAAAAGACTTCTGCCAGTTTATTATATAAGACAGTGTTTTATAAATTTTAAAGGGACATTTTTGCATAGGAAAAAAACACAGGCTATGGAAATAGCTCAATCGTTAGAGGGTTTGTCTACAGTGCATGAAACCCTGAGTTCAAACCCTCAGCATTCTCTAACAGAGCACAGTGGTGCATTCCTGCTTTCCAAGCATTCGGGAGGTAGAGGCAAGAGGATCAGCTTCAGTTACACAGCAAGTTCAACATCAGCCTGAGTTACATGAGACATCTCAAAAGAGGGGAAAAGAAAAGAAACCTGTGAAATGATAATATGGCTTAGAATGTTTAGTCTCTGGATCATATAGTTACTCCAGCACACAGAATTGTGGGCAAGCACACGCACAGCTCTTTATGCCATCAGACACAATGGCAACTGTCAGCATTAACGGAGTACCTTACAAATAGGAATTTTACCCATCTTCCTAGCTCACTTAATACAATGACCAAGAAAACCTTCAATCTTAGGCCTATTTCCCTGTAGCTAGAGTTTTCCTGCCTTACCCACAGTCAGGACAAATCTTTGTCACCCGCCAGTCCCATAGCCACTCAAACCCAACCAAGTAAACACAGAGACTTATATTGGTTACAAACTGTATGGCCGTGGCAGGCTTCTTGCTAACTGTTCTTACAGCTTAAATTAATCCTTTTCCATAAATCTATACCTTGCCACATGGCTCGTGGCTTACCAGCATCTTCACATGCGGCTTGTCATGGTGGCGGCTGGCAGTGTCTGACTCAGCCTTCCACTTCCCAGCTTTATTCTCCTCCTTGTCCCGCCTATACTTCCTGCCTGGCCACTGGCCAATCAGTGATTTATTTATTGACCAATCAGCAACACACTTGACATACAGACCATCCCACAGCATTTCCCAGATGCAGAATCCGAGATTTGAGCATTTAGCTTGTTTTCCCAAGATCAGTGAAGACTGAAAGACCTCTTCTAATCCATCTCCATAGAGATGGGAAGATGATAGTAACCTGTTATATATACCCACTCTTCTCCATTACAACCAACTCTAATTTTACTAGCAACAATATGCACGTATAAAAATCCCTACCTTCATCACACCATCTTTAGTGGAGATAACTGGTAATCTATGTGACAGGTTCTAGCCAAGGTCCTACAAAATGTCTATCTTCCCAAAGAAAGCAAAGTTCATTGGATAAAAGCCAACATTCTCCTCAAGAATTTGACCTAAAATACCAAACTATCACCTTTCACCCAACAGAACCAATCCCATATTAACATTACGGAGCTCAAAATAGCTGGACTCTGGATGTCTTACTGCAAGAGAAAACATCAGTCCCTTTTTTGTAAACAGAGCTTCCTTGTATTTGTAGTTAGAAAGTATCTATAACTAATAATGCACAAAGCAAAAAAATTGCAGTTTGTAGCAGTGGTTCCTATAGTGTAAGTCATATATTTTTTTCATGTGAATATTTTTATGGTTATCAGAATTCAAACCAGACCATTTGGTTCCTCAATTATTCATTATTAAGTTCTAAATTTGAGTTATCCTATTAGATCAGTGGCTCTCAACCTTCCTAATGCTGCGACCCTTTAATACAGTTCTTCATGTTGTGGTGACCACAACCATAAAATTATTTTCACTACTACTTCATAACTGTAATTTTGCTATTTATGAATCATAATGTAAATATCTTTTTTTCAATGGTCTTAGGTAATCCCATAAAAGGCAGTTGATTCTGTTGTTAAAGTAAACCTAGTAAGGACACCAAAATGTTAGTAGTCCCCAGGAAGACAAAGAAGAACAGCATAGACTATGACAGAGATGAAAAACAAGTTCTCAAACATACCTTTTACATTGTCAACCCTGAATATACAAACTATCCAAACTGTGCGATATGGTGGTATTTTATTTGTGCTGAAATGTGATTTTATTTGTATGTTATTTAAGTTGCCTGGGAGTCAGAGCTAATAGCAAGCCATTTAGAAGAAGTCTGGCAGTGGTAGCACATGCCCTTAATCCAATCACATGGCAGGCAGACTCTGTGTGTTCAAGGACATAGCCAGCTTGGTGACACACACCTTTAATCCAAGTACCAACCACAGGGACCTGGAGGTCTGTATAGACAGGCAGTGACGAAGAAGTCATGTGGTTGGGTTTACAACCAATGAGAAGGCAGAACAGAAAGTCAATAAAAATACAGACACACAGGAAGTAGGTCTCTTTCTCAGGGGAAGGACGGCAGCAGCTGGTAAGTAAAGGCTATTCCCTAGTGCTCTGACCTCTTGGGCTTTTAACCTTTTATTTGGCTCTGTGTTTCTTATATAATAAGACTGTTTAGAATTACATCTACAGTGCGACATCATAAAAGGATGGAAAAAAAATAAAAAAAAAATAGCCTTAAGCCTCATCTGTCAATAAATCAACATATTAGGGGTTAGGACTTTAGTTCAGCAGTAGAATGCTTGCCTATAAATCTAAGGACTCCAAAGTTATGGTCTCTAAAAAAGGGGTAAAATAATTTAATAAATAAATAAATAAATACACACAATATTGTTACCTTTCTTTGGACTTGAAGATAATTCCAGGGACTTTCCAGTAATAGCTGTCTTTTCACTTGCTAGTGACTGTAGGCAAAATAATAATAAAAATAATTTAACATATGATTCATGTGAAAAAAGGCTAAACACCAGTACTATTTTGTAAAATTCAGTAATAAATTATACCCTCCTTGATGTATTCTTCTGCTTTTCTTTTTAATATTCACCAATTGAGTATTCCTAAAACATATAGTCCTTACAGACACACAAATTATTTTCATATTTTTCTAGACTCTAAGCTGAGTTGTTGAAACATTTCACATAATAGTCAATGTTAATGATTTCTCATATATATGACTGACCATTCATTACTACCTATAACTATATTATCTTTAGTTTATAAAAGCATTCCTCTGTAATTTATAAGATATATAAAAATTAACTGGAATTGAACTGACATTCCATAATATAATCCTTATAAATAGTAGTATGCTCAATAATTTCATACCTGTCAGCATTCTTGGTGTGCATTCTTCATTTTCAAACAAGTAGAAAGACTCGACAAAGACTATGGAGGGAAATACTAACTTGACCCAACTATTAAAGGAACTCAAGGCATGAAAAAGACAAGCAGTGCTTTGAAAAATAAGAGAATTCCAAAGAAACTAGGTACAATAGCTAGATACCTGGGATCTTCTGCAACCATGAAAACAATTTTATAGCTCTCCTACCAGGGTCTCAGAAGTGTCCTGAAATCCTTCTCCACACTTGAGCCATGCTTTAGAGAGAGAGGCAGCTGCTTCCACTGTCTTCAAATTTGCTCTTCTCGACTGCTGTGGCCTCTCTTCTAGAAAGGATGGGTGCTCTACACGCCAATTCCTTTTCCTCTGCAGAAGTGATTATTAAAGAAAGAAAGAAAGAAAGAAAGAAAGAAAGAAAGAAGGAAGGAAGGAAGGAAGGAAGGAAGGAAGGAAGGAAGGAAGGAAGGAAGGAAGGAAAGAAGGAAAGGAAGGAAGGAAGGAAGGAAGGAAGAAAGGAAGGAAGGAAGGAAGGAAGGAAGGAAGGAAGGAAGGAAGGAAGGAAGGAAACCAACTTGTTATAAAAATTAACAATTTAGAACCCAGGAATGGTTATAGTAAAAACATAGCTTTTGAATGTTATCTGAATCTTCACATGGATATAGCAACCAGATAGCAAAACCAAAAACCCACTGATAACTGGTCAACAAACGTCAAAGTAAGAGTGAGGCCAAAACACCAACAATCCTATAATGAGCATAGTAAAAAAAAATGCCTTTTAGACATGTACAAGCAGCTTAGTCAAGAACCCCACTACACCCAAGGCTGCACCTGATAACAAGAATTCAGTGACATCACTAACACAAGATAAACAGGCATAGTCCTAGAACCCCATGATGTCCATTGGACAGTATATAAGCACAGACTAAGAGCAATGTTGTGGAGAGATGCCACTTTGATCTGCCCTGCAGCTGGAGAGTCTCCTCCAGGATCCTGACCCTCGAATCAGAGACTTCTGTTAGAAATTGGACCTGACCTTCAGCTAAGATACATCGCACAGGTAAGCAGCCTTGGGAAGATAGGCTTAGGATTGTAATTAGAAATTTAGAGTATGGACTTAGCATGATAACCCTCAGCATAACAAAATATAACTTTTGTTATACTAACTGCGCATATCTACCTTCTTGCAGTTGCCGTAGTCAGCAAGATCTTGGACAATCCTTAGAAAAGGTGAAATGAAGGTGGTTTCCTGCTAGTCCAAGGACATCCCCAGACTCACCCCAGGGAGAAGGGTGAATTCCTTCCTGACTGCAGGACTTCCCTTCACAAAGGCACAGGCTTCTGCCTTAAGACCAGGTAGGTAGCAGAAAGATGGTAGCAGGAAGGAAAAAATGTAACAGGAACTAACTCCCACAAAGGCAAGGGCTTGTAGCAGGAGCAGTTCTCTCAGTTACATGAGGGACTGGATAGCCAAGAGAATAGCAAGAAGGGCAGATCTTATTTGAAAAGCTGGCAAATCAGGCCTACTCTACCAGCAACCTAAATTTGTACTTCAGAAAAAGAGAAGTCAAATTCCTCTACTATTTGGCAAACACATTGACAAAATGCAGAGAGTGATATGAGGAATTAAGAAAATGGAATGTAAAGGATGAGAACAGTCCTGAGGGTAGATGGGACAGAAGATGTCACTTGGTTCTTTCTTTGTACCTAGACTCAAGAAAGAACCTAAGATTGATATTCTATTGTCCACCCCAGTGTTCAGTGAATCCTTGTTAGAGAGGGCAGACACCTCAGAGATCCCAGGTTCTTATGCAAAATAATTAAAGACACTGACTCTGATAGAATGAAAGACAAACAGCTAACTAGAAACTTGGCAGAAAAATGGAGAAATAGCCCATTCAGAGAGGACTTGGATGTACCTGATAAGGTCCTAGTCAGCTGCCTCAATGACACCAGGATCTCTCTACCTGTAACTTCCAGTGAGGTTAGGACTACTCTTAGCTGGTCAACCAACAATATTCCTGAAACCACTGAAGTAGAATCCAGACCATTTACAAGGACAGAGCTACAGCAAATAAGACAAAATTTTGCACAAAGAGGAGATAAAGATGCAGCCAATGTAGCCTGCTTATGGGAAAAAGGAGCTGATACAGTAATGTTAACCTCAGAAGAAATGAAGGGAATCAAAGGGATTCTAGAAAATTCCCACATATTTAAAGGTCTGGAATGAATTTTAGATACAACCAGAGAGGAAATCCACCCTTTATTGGATTGGGTAACGCTTCACGGAGGCAGGCTTCCCCCACCCTTGATCTAACTCAATTCAAGACAGGACAATGGAAAATATGAAAAAAGCAATTGAACTGGCTAGAAAGTAGGGTATACTTTACTTAATTTACCATAACAGCCCAACACCACGGGCTGTGCCACTGCTCCCAGGCATAAGGAAAATTCTAATTAAGGGCACCCCTCCACACTTGAGAATGGCATTGACATCAACTCTAGCCAATTGCCAAACTGTTGGAGACACTATTAACTTCTTCAAATAGACTAGAGAACTGGAGACAGATAAGATAGTATCCCTCCAGTCTAATGTACAGAATCCAACCCAAACCAGCACCATGGAAACCCACATAAAAGGTGGCCCTTTTTTAGGCAGAGGCAGAGCAAGACCACACATAACCCTACATTCTTTCAAAAAATTGGTGATGTAACACCATTTGGAAGATGAGATCAGATACCAGTAAGACAGCCACAAGGGAAAAATTCAAAAACAGTTTCCTAGGCAGACCAAAGAATGTATGGAATCAACAACCCTGGAATCAAGGAAGGACGCCAGACCCTTCATGCAGATCCCAACAATGATCAGGGAAATGGTCCAATAGATCAATTGGCTGGAAATACAGGAAGTGAGGTGACAATTTGCAACCCCTAACTCCCTTTACCAAATCCCCAAAATTATGTAATTATTGAAGGAGTAGCAGGAAAACCATTTAAAGCAGGAATAGAAAATATTAGTCTATAATTTATCTCTAAATATTCCCATACTATTTATACCAGTACCTAATTGTGTCCTAGGGATGGATGCCACACCAAAATTATTTCCCCAATGGCATTATATTAAAAAACTTAAACCCTTGGACTATAACATCACCGAAGTACAAATTCCCCTTATAAAGTTCCCTAAAATCAAGGGATAATTTACCAAGCAATATCCTATCAAGGGAGGTGAAGAAAACATGACTGACACTGTAAATAAATTATTAAAGGAAGATATTATTGAACCTATACAATCTTTCAATTTCATAGTCTTGATTGGCCAGTAAAGAAGCCAAATGGTCAGTAAAGAGTCACAGCAGACTATAGGAATATTAATCAGCTTTCTCTACAAATGCCAGGAAGTTTACCTGATGTAGAAAATATAGTCTTAAAGATTAGGAATTACAACCCAAAATTCTTTGGCAACATAGACATCAGACATGTTCTTTAGCATACCACTCCATGTGGACTCTGAGACATTACTACTTTTACCTGGAATAATAAACAATACAGATTCAAAAGAGTGCCTCAAAGCTGTAAGAATAGCCAGATCATTGGGCATGTGACACTAAGATGGTCACTGGAAAAGCTACAAATAAGATTGCTTACTTTTAAGCTATGCATATGATACTTGATTGCAGAATGCAATAAGGACACTGTTCAAAACTATATGAAGACAGTAATTGATACCCTGGTACATAATGGCTGGACCATGAATAAAGACAAGGTGAAACGGCCAGATACCTCAACCAAGTTTCTAGGTGTGTTATGGACATCTGAAGGAACCAAGGTCCTATATAGCTTATTGTACAAGATTCTAAATATCCCCCTACCCAGGGACAAATCCCAGATGCAACACATAATCGGTGTGTCTGCATACTGGAGGAACCATATACCATATTTACAGATTATCATGAAACCCCTCTATAGGGTTACTAGAAAGGCAGCTGATTTCCAATGGGGACAGAAACAAAGAGAAGCTTTTGCAGCTGCCAATAAGCTCATCTCCAAGCATGCAACCCTGACCAATACTGAACAAGATGATACCTTAATTGTGGATATCTATGGATATCATATTTATTGGTGAATATAGAAACTGGGGACTCTTCATAAAGCAAAAGGAAATCCACCAACAGCTGGCTTCTTCTGCAAATACTTCTCATATGCGGAGAATACTCTCTCTTTGAGAAACAAACCTGGACATTTTATGAGGCATGAAGAAGTCTACACTCAGTCATTGCCAACCACCCTATGGTCATAAGGATGCCCATTCCAATGATGAATTAGATCCACTCAAAGGCAGAATCCTTCACAGGCTTAGCCATGGAAGGAAAGGTATTACAGTGGAAATAGTAACTATCGAATTCCTTTGTGACCAGGGGTAGCAAAGGGGTCTGTGCCTTCCTGCACTGAGGAAATAGCTCAGTTGCCTATAATCCCTGTCCCTAAACCATTCAATCCTACCCCAAAATTGGCACCTATTGAACTGTGGGGACCAACAGAATGATCACAGCATTTAGCTAATGCATGGTTTACTGATGGCTCATCAAACACCAATAAAAACAAAACTAAATGGAAAGCAGCATCCTATAGACCAGGGGATGGAATGGCTATTACTGAGGTAGGAACCACCAAATCAGCACAACACGCTGAAGTAATAGCAGCACTATTGGCTAGAAGACAAACAGCTACGGAAGGCAAAAGGAAAATCTATATCTTCTCTGATTCATGGTCTGTGGGCAATTGTATAGCTATATGGTCATCAAAATAGAAAACCACTTAACTGGCAGATAAATGGCAAAGATAATTTAGTCAAGGGAGACACGGATGGAAATGGCAAAATTTAGCAAAGGCATCAAATTTTATGTCACTCATGTAGATACCCACACAGGAAATACAGATAAGACATCCAAAAATAATGAAATAGCAAACAAATTGGCATCATGTTCAATTAAGACTAGAATATTAAAACTTGCTAGGGAACAAATTCAGAATAAATCATCCATGATTACCAACCCAGTTGGTAAACTTGACAGTTTACCCCTAACACTAAAAAATGAGGGGAAATAGAGAATCAAATTAAATCAAGACAAGCCTATGAAAATAACTATTAAAAGGAACCTAGACTGGAAAATTAAGAAACCTGAGAATGTTAACATAATTAGTACAGAAGAAATCCTAGGATTACATAAAACATTTAGACATACAGGCACACATGCTTTGTTCCAATGGTTTGATAAAATGAAAATCAAGTATCTTGGCAGGCCTGTAAACAGACCATTAGAGACTATCATCTTCATCCAAAACTTAAAACTAGATTTAGACATTGA